CCTGTTTGATGTTTTCTGTGTATAGGTAGGGGTCAGCCACACTCTTGCCAGACTCACCAAGTTCTCACAATTAGTTAGAGTGAGCTTTACTACTGGTCTATTACACATTGTACACCTCTATTTTAGAGGCATACTCATCACACTGACTATAGCCTGCTCAGATCTTCCATTTGGGTGAAGCAGGCACTAAATCTCCCCTCGGGCTAGCACAGTTAATGTGTTGTAGTCCAAGGTTCTGGGAGAAAGGGTGGGAGCTCTGGCTGGAGTTCCCTGATCCCACAAGGTCATCTGTGGAAACAATGGAAGTTGCAGGAGGGGCCTTGGTCTGGGCTGGCCCCATGTGTGCCTTTGGCTGGAGTTCCTGGGTGCCACAAGGTACCATCTTTTCATTTATTTATTTGTTCTTTGTATTTCTTCATCTGAGAATTGTATATTCATCTCAGATGTTCAGTTTTGGATTGATATTTGAATTTTGGGGGCGTGATTCTGGGTTTTTTTTTTCAATTCAATTGATATATTCTAGATAGAAGTCCTTGGCATGAGGGACAACTGGCTATAATTTTTATCACTCTATGTGTGGTCTTTTTACTCTGTTGGTGATTTCTTTTGTTGTGCAAAAGCTTTTTAACAAGCTGAGATCCCATTTATTGATGCTTTGTAGTATTTCACTTGCAATCTTGGTTTTATTCATAAAGTCTCTGCCTAAACCTATGTATTCAAGATTTCTACCATTTTCTCTTCCAGTAAATTTAATGATTCCGCTTTGATATTTAGATCTTTGATCAACTTTGACTTTAATTTAGTGAATGGTGATAGACATGAATCTAGTTTTAGTGTCTGACATGTAGAAAGTCAGTTTTTCCAGCATCATTTATTACAGAAACTATATTTCTTCAAGTGAACATATTCGGATCCTATGTCAAAGATAAAGTGATTGAGCATGTTGGTGCTGTGTCTACATCTTCTATTCTGTTAAATTAATCCTTCAGCCTATTTTTTTGCCAAAGCCATGCTGATTTTATAATAGCAGCTTTGTAGTACAACTTTAGGTCTGGGGTTGTTATATCCTCTGATTTGTCTTTATTGCCCAGAATTGCCTTTGCTATTCTACACCTCTTCTCATTCCAAATGAATTTTAGGAATGCTTTCTCTAGATCTGTGTGGTATACTAAAGGTATTTTGATTGGGAAAGCATTAAATGTGTATGGCAGTTTTAAGAGTATGGCCATTATCAGTATATTGGTTCTTCTTATTCAAGAGCAAGGGATGTCTATGCATTACCTGACATCCTCTTCAATCTCCTTTTTAACAGTACTGTAATTTTCACCATACAGATCTTTTACATTCTCTGTTATATTGTCTCTTAAATATTTCATTTTTTGGATGCTATTCTAAGGGATGTGCTCTCCTTAGTTTCTCTGTGATTTTCATGTTTGTGTACAGGAATTCTCTTGATTTTTGGGTGTTGCCTGTGTATTCAGCTATGCTGATGAATTTACTTAAATCTAGCAGGCTTTTGGTGGATTCTTTGGGATCTTCTATGTAAAGTATCACATCATTGTCTAATAAAGATAATTTTAATTCCTCTTTTCCTCTCTTTGTTCCTTTTATCTCTTTCTCTTGCTTAATACATTTTCAATCTCATTAGCTGATATCAGATTACTTGAAATTTTTATATCAATTTGGTTTTGGCAATTTGATTAAGATGAAGAATGTCTATTTCTTCTATATTTTCTATATTAGAATACATATTCTCTTGGTAGGTGTGATAATCTTCTCTGGCTAATATTTCCAGAACTTTAGTAAATAGAAATGGTTGTAATGGACACCTTTGACTTACTTCTGAACTTGAAGTGAAAGGTTTCAGTTTTTGACCATTTAATATGATGTTACCTGTTGATTTGTCACAGATGGCTTTTATAAGATTGTGGTAAAGACCATCTAGTCCAATTTTCTGTAGAGTTTTTATCATGAATTGGTTTTGGATTTTTTGAAATGCTTTTTCTGCATCTATTCAGATGATAACATAATTTTTATCATTAGTTCTGTTGATATGATGTATTACATTTATTGATCTGCATATGTTGAACCATCCTGGCAACCCTGAGAAGAATATTAATTGACTGTGATATATGATTTTCTCAATGACCCAATGCATTCCCTTTACCAGTATCTTACTGAGGTTTTTGTGCCTATATTCACAAGGAGGTGTGGCCTATAGTTTTTTTTTTTATGGTTGGATTCTTCTCTGGATTCAGAGTCAGAATAATACTTGCATCCAGAAATTATTTTCAAATTACTTCTTCCATTTTAATTTTCTTAGAGTTTCAGCATGTGTGGCCTTATTTCTTCTCTAAATTTTTTTAGAATTCAATAGTGAATCTGTCAAGCCCTCGATTGTACATTATTGGTAAATATTTAATACATTTTCAGTCTCATTGCTGATATCAGATTACTTGAAATTTTTATATCAATTTGGTTTTGGCAATTTGATTAAGATGAAGAATGTCTATTTCTTCTATATTTTCTATATTAGAATACATATTCTCTTGGTAGGTGTGATAATCTTCTGAATTTCTGTGGAAAATGTGATTTTTCTTTTCATTCATAACTGCTTGAATTTATGTTTTTACTTTCCTCTTTTTGATAATGTTGGCTAGTGGTTTATCAATTTTATTTATTCTTTCAAAGAACCAACATTTTATTCATTGATTTTTTTGTAATCTCTTATGTTTATTTCTGCTCTTATCTTTATAATCTCCCTTGTAAAAGTTTTGGGTTTGATTTGTTCTTTTTCTAGAAATTTAAAGGTCAACATTAGGTTGTTTATTTTAGATCATTCTGTTGTCCTAATTTGTGAGTTTATTGCTATAAATTTCCCTTTTAGAACTGCTTTCCTTGCACCCCACTGGTATGTTGTAGAGGGGCTAGGGATTTAACTTAGTGGCATTCGTGCCTGCCTTGCAAGCACACAGTCATGAGTTTGATCCCCACACCAAAAAAAAAAAAAAAAAAAAAAGAATGAAAGAAAGAAAGGAACAATCTGGATAGGAGATCCAGCCATAGTGGAACATAGGTGCCTGAGCAAGAACACAACTCACCTCCCTTCCTGGTAAGTGCCCCTGGTACAAGCCAAGGAGAGAAACAGTCAGCATCTTCCAAGATCCAGCCATGGTGGAACGTAGATGGCTGAGCAAGAAAGCAATCACCTCCCTTCCTAATAAGTGACCCTGGCACAATCCAGGAGAACCATTCAGTGTCTCCCAATCTGGCCATGGTGAAACTTAGGTGGCTGAGCAAAAAAGCAATTCACCACCATTCCTGGTAAACACCTCTGGTGTGAACCAGGAAGAGAACCAGTCGTCATGTCCCCAAGATCCAGCCATGGTAGATCTTAGGAACTTGAGCAAGAAAGCAATCCACTGGGCTGAGGATTTAGCTCAGCGGCATAAGCGCCTGCCTTGCAAGCAGGCAGTCGTGAGTTCGATCCCTGGTACCGATAAAAACGAAAAAGACAAAAAAAAAAAAAAAAAGAAAGCAATCCACCTCCATTCCCAGTAAGCACCCTGGCATGAGCCAGGAAGAGAACCACTCAGCATCTCCTGCGAGCCTACCAGTGCATAAGCTGAGAATGAAACGTTTCATCCATTCCCCTCCGTGCCCTTAGGAACTTGGGGCAGTGGTCTGAGCATTTCTCAGGAGGATGACTATAAGCAATGTAGCAAGTATGGGAGATTTTCTTTTTATCTTCCCTTTGAAGGCAAATATTGTTTTCACTGTTTTGCTTTGTTCTGATTGTTGTGTTCTATTCAATATTCTCTTTCAGTTGGTTTTATAATGTTCTGTTTTTTGGTTTGATTTTACTATACCTAATTGAATGGAAAATTATTGTGAAGATAATGAGATATACTATGGTACCTATTATTGTTACCTAGATATCCTGCTGTGAAGTTCTGTACCAATTTCACAGCATTGTCTCAATCATCTTTGTTCTGTGTTGTTGTTATATTTTACTACCTTCAAAATAAAATTGTTTTTTAAGAAGTGTGAGAATTATTAGAATTTAAAATGAGAATGCTCTCTTTTGTAACACCATCAGGAAATTTGATGGAGACCACCAGACTTGCTGTCATCAGAAAGCCAGATACAATTTAGAATGGACAGAGAGATTCCATTTGCAGAGAGGTTATAGCAACAGTAATCATCAAAAACTCAACTGGCAACATGACAGGTGCCTGATGCTGCAGTACTAGCTGAGACACAGATAAAACCAAGCAAAATTTATCAGAGACATATGGAAGATAAGACAACTATAGGGAACTCTAATAAACTCCCACCTATTTACAGAGATTTGAATGCCTGTGCACACACATGCACACATTCACATGCACACATACACATACTCTAAGGAGAGACCAAAAAGAACTATAGTTAATACACCAACATGTCCTGATTATACATAAGGACTTGCATATATGAAGTACAGCCTAGCACAAATGTGTAAACAGTCAAGTGATGAACATGTGTCCTCAATCACATAGGGCACAAGGTGGAGACCTTAGTAATTTAAGCTATTGACACTCAGTCCCTGCTCTATCATTGCTTCCCATTAAGCTGTGTTGACCCAGGAATGGTTCCTGAGAAGCTAAGTTTAATAATTAAAATAAGAACTAAAGAAAGAATGGGACATGGGAAAAGAGGGAGGCATGGACGGAGGGAAAGAAAGGATAGATAAAAGAAACAAACAGTTATATGTTTAAAAAGAGGTACAGGAGTAAACAGAGACATCAGTGACTACAAAATGCAGGATAAGTAAAATATACAAAATGTGTTCAAGCAGAGAATTGATAAAAACAAATAATAATAAATGAGCACACAGTAACACAAAATACCAAGATGCTTTACTTGATGAGTCTCATACTGAAAACTATTTCTATTCAGCAATGAAAAGGAAAAAGACAGTTCCAATTATCTTGTTTTAAGCTCGTATATTATTTTCATTGTTTTGCTCGCTTGGTTTTGCTTGGTTTTATTCTGTTTTGTTTTGTTTGATTTTATTATATCTGATGACATATCTATTTCAAAGGTGGTATAATATATTATGGCAGCCAGTGTTGAAGTCCTATTAACTTGTTTTAAAATCCTTTTTCACTTTCACTGTTTTGTTTTGATTAGGTTTATTCTGTTTTATTTTGTTATTTTTCGTTTTCTTGAAAGAGATAGACTAAGCTGCATTTTTCTATAATACAAGTTCTGCAAGGTCTGTAATGAGCATAAGTAAACTACAAAAAGGATACTGAAATTTCTCAGCTAACTTAATCATTTAAACCAGAAAAAGAGCATCAGTGTTTCAAATGTTCCAACAGTATCAGAGAGGAAAAAAACTAACAATATTACAGTTATTCTAAGCTCATATGGTAGTTTGCATTTACTTGTTTATTTTCCATTAAGTATATATTGAATGTAGGAAGGGCACCCTTGTCATGGTCCTTACCCTCAAGGAATTAAAAATAAAAAGAGGAAAGAAGACCTGGGTAAGACCAATTCAGGAAGCAAAAGAGACAAGATTGTAACAGAGTGCAGTGGAAGGGCTCACTGAGGTCAGAGGAGCGAAAGCCTGCTTCATAGACAAGGGTCAACAAGATCTCTGAACAGGGACATCAGGAAGGGCAATCAATGATTTAATACTACTGACAAAAATAGAGGTGATGCCCTATGTAGTATCAGAATACCGGCCACATCAACAAGTGATTAGCATAAAAAATGAGAAACAGTTTAAACAGATTGTAGAAACATGTCATCATCATGCTGTCCAAAGCTCCTGGGAATTTGGCTTCTTGTTACCAAGGGAGAGGCTGGAACAGTCATCTCATGAAATACTCTGATATGTGCTGTGGAAAAATGGAAGAAACACTAGATAAATTGAAGAAGGTGCGACTATTGATACACTGCATCAACTTGAGAAGTTTAACTAAACAACTCAGCAGGGACACAAGGTCCTTACTTTCCAAACAAGGAAGAGGAAGGCAAAGAAATATTATTCTATTCAGCAATGAAAAGCAAAAAGACTGCTTCCAATTATCTTGTTTTAAAGTCCCATATCATTTTCATTGTTTCTACTCTGGAGGGGGGTGACTTGTGTACAATATAAGTGAGGAAATCCGGCTTGATCTTTCCTTTTTTTTTTTTTTTCTCTTGCTGACTTTCTTGTCTTCAACTGTTTTGAAATGTTGCCCCTGTGCCATGCCACCCTGCCTTGGAATCACCTGATTATGGACTGAACTCTCCACAAACTGTGAGCTAAATAAACCATCCCTTCCTTAATTTGGGGTGTTGGGTATTTTGACTCAGCAATGAGAGAAAAGTAACCAAGATAGATGGCAAAACAAAAGCTAACACATGTAACAAACATGTGACAAAAAGTGGCAGGTAAGGAGTAAATAGAAAGAACTCACCAACGTTTCTTACACAACAACACAAGAACTATCAGAAGCACCAGGGGCACTATCACTGCAAAGATGATCAAGATCACAGAAAGGCCATGTCCTGTGGTACGGGAAATATACATACATGTCATCTAAAACCTGCCACTGATTTTACTGCATCCATTAGTTTCCTTGAATAATATATGACTGGGTAAATGCCACACCATTCATCCTGTTACAGTCACTCTATTCCCATTCCTACCCAAGGAAGGGATATACCCATTCCTACCCTCTGGCTTCCCCAGAATGTCTTGAATCTATGTGTTCCCCAGGCCTGACTTCTCCCTTCCTGGAATTATTCGCGGCTATGTCTTTTTCACTTCCCTCAACTAAATCTGGCCTCATCAAACCTTCCTCTGTCCCACCTCATGCTCAGGGTCACCCATTCACACCTTCAAACTCCAGTCTCACCCCAGTAGAGGATGATGTCTTGGTCTCTCAGGCTGCTGTGCCTCACTCGACAAGACAGACCAGCTGCCTCTTTAGCTGCCACATCCAGGGTCACCCGAAGATACCATGTCCCATCAGCATGTGGAAGAATATCGCCTTGTTTAGTTTCCAGTTGTTCCTGTGCACCTCGCATCCACATGACCCAAATAGGCTTTGGGTAGAAACCAGAGACATGGCAAGCCAGCAATAGTCTACCAGGCTCGAGGTTGGGACTACTGGACAGCCAGACCTCTGGTCTCACTGCATGGAGAAGAAACAGAACTTAGAAATGCAAAAATACACAGATTGGGTACACAGATACCCAGGTCAGTATGTAGTTACCCTTTTTCTTTTTTTTTTTAGCACTTTTTTTTATTTAAGGAGAATAAGGAAAAAAAAACAGAAAAAGGGTACAAGTAATACAAAATTTAAAAAATAAACATTAAGAAATCACTAGTTAATAGATTATGTATTCTCATCTTAGAAATAGTTGTTCAAGTTACAAATTTGAAGCATATAAAGTGGACTTTCAAACAGTGAGAGTGCAAACAGTTTAGTTCAATGACCCAAAAAACACTCAGTAATATGGTTATCTATCTTACACACTTAAACATATATGCAGTTATAACCTTTAGAGCATTTTCTTTTCTTTTCTTTTGTACAATGACAATTACACATTTTGGGTTTTATTTATACACAGTTCTTAATACTTTTTTTGGAGAGAGTAAAACCACCCAACAGCACTAGTGCCTCTTATCCTCGTCCCTATGCTAAGATTGAAGAGGATGACAGGAAGAGGCATGACACAAACAAAACAATCTCAGAGGAAAGGGCTAAACTGACCTTGTCTCTGAAGATCCATCTTTCCTGCATCCAGGAGACCCAATAGTAAACGGGGGCAGACGTCATTCATGAGATAGTATGCTGTTTCCTTGATGCCTTCATAAATATTGAGTAAATCACAGACCTTCTGAGCCGTCATCCCACCCTCTGGAGATGGCACCCACGATTTGTTTTGGTAACTCAGGAAATTTAATCCATTAAATGCTGCATGGAAGAAGCCTTTTGTGATCTCTCCAGAGTGCAGCTCAGAGCCAAGTCTCACCTGTATGTCAACGGGATCTAGGGGAAGAAAGGAATGAAAATAAGTGGGTAAATGAAGAAAATAAGAGCAATGATATGAGAATTAAAGGTACTGAGCAGGAACTAATATAAACAATTTTATGTAGATGTGAACTAAACATATATACAATAAGAAACAAAAGTAGGGAAATATGCTAGGGCTGAAAAATTGGATCAGAAAAGATAATTATCTTCATTTTACAAGAGACTGACCTGAACACAGTTTGGAAAAATGATAGGTGAGCTCTACAACTTAAGAGGTGGGGGATCAGAGGAACTCTTTTAGGAGATGAAAGTGCATTTCATGGTGCATAACATTGGTCACAATGGTTGATACACTGTGAATGTGGACCTTTTGAGATATTGAAGAGCTGTGTTTTCAGGAAATCAATTACAGAACCAGATAACTTTGTACAACTGGATTATGACCACAGAAGGAGATCACAGTGAAAGATGATAAAGTTCAGCTAAAAGATATTCCTAAAGTAACAAAAGCCTGATAATTTTCAAGGGCTTTGGAATATACACTAACAGACTTATGCATGCAAACTTTTATCTTGGAATGAGATAACAGATGTGTCCACACAAGGAATATGAAATATTTCCCAGAAATAGAACCCTCAGGAAATCTCTTAGTTGAGCTGATTGCACTTACAATTGATTTGTAATTCACTGGCTCGGTTTTGAAACTCCACTGTTAATCCAGAAAAGTAGAAACGAAATAGAAGCTGCAGATCTTCCAGCTCTTCATTGCTGAAGTTACCCCTGGACCAGGTGTGTAGGAAAATTATTGTTCCGGATTCACTGTCCCAGCCATGAGTCTGCAACTCATCCAGCCAAGCAGAGCCACGATTTTGTGCCCAGGATTGGTTGGCATAGGATGAGATCTGCATTAAGTAAAATGAAATGTTTTTCTGGACCACTGTGGAAGGAGTTCATTCAGTACGAGGAAAACAGAAGAGGAAATAAAAGAGAAAAAGAAGAAAGAAAATGAACCAGTTACCAGAGGAAGAAGCCTAATGGTCATCTTAGCAATAGCATTTTCCTTACAAAAGACCCCCTTCTCTAACAGGATCCTCAAGAAAAATTAGAGTACACATGGAGACAGGGTGCTCAAACTCCAAGGCTTCCATATTCTAAATAACTTATGTTAAGATGGCTTGCAACACTCCACCCAGCCCCAATCAAATGGACGACTGATAGAAATGTTCTTACCATTTTCAGTGATACTGCCTCCAAGGACAACATCCAGAAATAGAAATTCTAGAAACAGCATGTCATCTACAGGTGTCTGCTTTTCTCACCAAAATGTACCCTTTCTACGTGATACAACTCTCTTCCACTAGAAGTGGACCTCCTCCACCAGCTAATGATGACTACCAAGAAACTCTAAAGCTTCCCTCAGCCTTGGGCCTCCTACACAGCCTCTCATTTCCCCTGTATGTTGAACTAAATATTCTCTCCTCCCTGGAATTGAACTGCTCTCTCTTCACTAAGCTCCTTCTTACTTACAGAACTACATCAATCATTCCTGGAACAAGTGGCATGTAACATTTATTAAAGGTTACTTCATTTTTATGAATCTTGTACCTCATCTATAAAATGAGAAGACTTACTTCGTGCTTTCCTCTGATCACGCTTGCTTTAACCAATTGCAGTTCTTCCAGTTTTTCCACTTAGCTATGCATCTGAACTCCATCATGTCCCCAATTTTGGCCACTCCATCTCTCTCCCTTTTGAATAGTCTCTAAGCCGTCTCTTTCCCATTTTATACTTTCTTCTACCACTTTCTCAGTTCTCAATTCTCATTGGTGCTTTTTTTAATTGTCCCTATTTTTAATTTCACATTGCAGCCATTTGCACCAGTTATACTATACTACATGACTATAGTATAAGATCCGCTATTGAGTTTAATCCATATATTCTGTTACCAGAATAGCATCTAATCTGTAATTGATATTAAGTATCTTACTAGATATCAGAACATACATAGATTATCCATATAGTTTCATTTATCAATATATTTCAGACAGAAGTATACCTAAATGGAGAACTAAAAGTCATTGTGATATTTTCTGTTTAGTGTACAGAATCCTCGATACAAATATATTTACAAAAGTGTTTTCTAGAGAAATACTTTAGCTGACAGGTACACTCTGATTCATTGGAGTGCCCTTAATATAAAATCCTACAGGAGGGGCTGGGGATTTAGCTCAGTGGCATAAGAGCCTGCCTGGCAAGTGCGTGGCCATGAGTTCAATCCCAGTACCAAAAACAAAAAAATCCTAGAGGACCAGACTGTACTTGTCCCTGAGGACTAACTGCTGTGCAGCATGCAGAAATAGAAATAGTTCTTCTTGTGAAAAACAAGAGACTGCCTATAGCAGAGATCAGAAACTCCACAAACAAATTAAGTTTTGTGATATGACAAATACATTGGCAGAAACCATCATTTATGAATATTCAGGTATATTTAAATAATCATGAAACATTCTTGGTTGTTAGTAATCCTCACTGCTTAATATGTTTGAACAGATAAAACCAAAATCATTTTGACACCCAGACAATACTTCGTTTTAGTGTCCCCAAAATAATATTCATTGAATGAAAGTGTGGGCATCCTTTAAAAGCAAATTTCTGACACTATTTCTTTCCTAACTTGTGTATTTTATTGTACATACTTACTGTGTAAAACATGATGTTTTAATAACCATACTGGCTTTCTCAAACTTGTCAATATTAACAAAATGGTTGAAGGTAACTTACAATAGACTCTTCCTATTATAGCCAATATTATTTGCCAGCCTCCATGAGCTACAGACACCATAAAGAACAGAATGAAATTTAAATCTTCTTCAAGTCATTCACCAGCACCAATCTTCAGTTGGTCGATGGTAAGCTCTTAGTTTAGAGTTTTAGGAAGTGACAGCAGGTACCGTATCTGCTATCACATATTTTTCTCTTCTCCATAGTTCTACGGGAGGAGAACAGTTCTTCTGAACTCTGGGCTGTGGGATGTGAGATACTGGAACCATGAGACATCTTCAGGCTTGACCATTTAAGATATCCCATTTGATTTTCTGGCTCTGCACTACTGTCTTGCAATTTGCCTTATGAACCACAGGTGGTAGCCTTCTTCTTCTGCTAAACTCAGAACCTAGTATCATAAAGATAACCAGATAGATGAAACAAATTACCAAAGGTTCAGTTGTTTGCTTCTGTAACCCAGATGATCTGACGAGGATCGAACCCCAGATAGAGTGATCATACTCACCACTGGGAGTGTGAATGTGTGTCTGTCACCAAAACTCACATGTTGAATCCCTAATCTTCATAACAGTAGGGTTATGTTGGACATGCAAAGGAAGTGACTGACAAGTGAATTACTAAAGGTGGTGCCCTGATCCAATTGGGTAAGTATCATTATAGTAATTATAATATACACTGGCCATGTCTCGAGGCAAAAGTCTGCAATTCCATTGTAATCCCATCACATTAGAGGCTGATGCAGGAGGATCACAAATTCAAGCCCAGCCTTGGCAACTAAATGAGGGCATTTTTAAAAATTAAAAAAAAATTACAAGACTGGAAATGTAACTTAGTGGGAAAATACCAGAAAAAAATCAAAAGTAAACACCAAAGGACCAGTGCTTACTCAATATTCCTCTTCTCTCTCTCCCTCTCCTGTGTGTGTACGTGTGTGTGTGTGTGTGTGTGTGTGTGTGTGTGCATCCATGCACCCATCAAAGAAAGGCCATGCCAGAACACAGTAAGAAGCCAGCTGTCTATAATCCAGGAAGATTGCCCTTATAAAAAACTGAATTGCTAGAAACTTGATCATAAACTTCTACTTATTATAACTGAGAAAAATGAACTTTTGTGTTTCAAACCACCCAACTAGCTTACTGTATTGTTTCATAGCATTATGAGCAGAATAATGACACTCACCTAATTGTAGTAGTGCGGGAAAACCCCACCTGAGTCTGTCCACTTGAGGGGTTGCCCTGTACATCAGGGAACAGAAGAAGAAAGGGGAGTGGGAGGAGGAAGATAAGAGGAAGGGAGGGCAGAAGATAAATGTGAGAGCAGCTTACTACAGGGGAACAAGGTTGGGGGGGAACATAGTTCTCTTTCCTGAATTCACTAATGAGATAATTCATTCTCTTAGGAAAAAGTGAAAAATGAGAGAAAAAAGTATTTAGGAAAAATTGTGTCTCAAGACAACCACCAGGTTAGTAACACCTTTGCTCTTACCATAATACCACCCATTCAGTCAGCCAGGTACTTAGAAAACTGCTTTCTTTGAAAACTTGATTCCTTTAACTTCTACAGTCATCACATCAACTCTCTCCAATTCTGAAATCTGCCTTTCTTCTCAAGACTCACTGACACTCTGCTTTCATCAAGAGAGACACAGGTCAAAACCACAGTACCCTATCTGAATATCACAGATACATCTGCTCAGTTCTCTGCTTCAGAGTGGCTATGTCAAATGTGAACATTCCAGACACAGTGGCACATGACTGTAATCCCAGCCCACTGAAGGCAGTGGCAGGAGGATTATTATATCTGACACCAGTCTGGGCTATGTGGTGTGAACCAGTCTCAAGAAGAAAAAAAAAAAAAAAACAATGAACTTAGTCACATCAGTCTCCTTCTTAAAATATTTTAATTGATTTGATTAAAACAACACAAACTGTTAAATATATCTCTTTTATACCCAGAGCCTTTTGTATATTAACCCCCAAAATGGAGGGGAAAGGGTGCTATTCAAACAGAAACCAGCAGACCATTTATGCTTGTGAATATTTGTAGGCTAAGAACCTGAAATTTACATAAAATGCTATAAGAACAAAAGAAATGTGATATATATGACCTCTGGATAACCCAAATCCCTAAAAGGGAAATCTGAGAAGAGTAGGACATATTGTATTAGCACCCAATCATAGCAGAGGGTCTCAGCTACCTGAGGGAGCCCAGCATTCTTCCTTTCTTACCAATTTTTCCAAGCTCTTTTCTGGATTTTTTTTTCCTGAAGCCATAGGTACCTCCATGCTCACTTTTCCCTGAGCTGTTCTGTGACCCTCCCTTGAATCCACTCCAAGGGGTGCTTTTGTCTGTTGGCAGATGGAGCTTTTTCGGGACTCTGATGTCATATCCCATCCCACACCATCCCACACTGTGATCTGTCATTCCCTTCCCACAAGCAGAAACCCCACCCACTGCCCACTTCCCTCTCAAAGAAACCCCACAGCATCCCACAACTTCATGCTGCTCTCAAGGTTTTTCATTTCCCCCTCCGCTCTGCTTCATTTTTCCCTCCCAGGTGTCTCTCTAATGTCTCCTTCTCTGTCTCACCTACAACAGGGGAAAAGCCCCAGAGCACCAGGATGAACACCTGGCCTAACCTCTTGCCACACACCATAAAGTGACTTGATTGGAAGAACTTGATTAGAGAATCATCAAGTTCTCTAATCCCATTTCAAATTTTACATTTTTATTTGATCTATGTTCTTCTGCATTTCCATCTATAGAGTCTTTTCTTTCTCTTCTCTGCTACCATGTCCTCATTTCTTAATTTTTGTATGTGTTCTCATGCTTTTCTCACCTTTTATCTGAGTTCCGTGGGTTTCCTCTCTGTCTCATATCAATTTTACCTAAACTCCCTACCCATTCATGCTAAGGACCACTCTAATGTAACTAAATCTTGAAACATCAAAAATTGTCTTATCACTCAAGTCTTAGATTTTTGTAAATAAATACATAAACCACAGTAAGACATTTATATTGCAAGGTAGAATATAATGAAAAAATTTAAAACTATAAAACACATACATATTTGATAATGATCATTTAAAAATTATTTATATATGCCAACAATGAACTCACAATAATTTTAAAAAACCACTGGCTGGGCCCTGCCCAGTGACCCTGAGTGGCAAGGGAACTGCCTGAACTGAGTGGGATGAGTTGAAGCCCTGCATGGTGAACTCCCCCAGCCATGCAATCTCAACACTTTACTCAGAACCTGTTAGGGCCTTGCTCAGCACCTCCAAACAGCCAGGGACCTGCGGTAGGTTGCTTCGTTCCTAACTGGGCTCTGCTGTTAGTGACCCTGAGTGTCAGGGGAGACTCCTAAACTGAATGCCACAAGCAGAAGTGAACTTCATCTAGCTGTGCAACCTTGGTGCCTCACTCAGAACCTGTTAGGGCTGCACCATACCCAAACAGCTGGGGAGATTTGGTGTGCCAAAGGGCAAGAGCTGAAGGCTGCACAACATACTCCATCTAGTTTCTAATCCTTGGTACAACACTCAGAAAATGCAGATTCCCATCCAGCAAACTTACGCAGAAAAGGAGCTTCAGAGCGCCACTTAGGGTGAGCTGAATGTCCAAGCAGCATTCTACTTCCATTTGAGGAGCCTTTGAGTGCCATTAGTGATTCAGTAAGACCTGCCTAATGACACACGCACAACTGGGGGAACTCCTCAGAGTACATAGAGACATCCTCAAACCAGGAAGGAACTGAGACCTTGCATTTGAATTCCCCAGGGGAATACAGGAAATTACAAAATGGAAGAGAAAATGTAATCTCAAACTTGCAAACCACACCAAACAATCCTATCAGATATGGACATAGAAGAAACTGTAAGCCACAAACCAGAAACTTATTAAATGATAGCAGTTGAAGTAAAGAAACAACTCCAGGAAGCTGTAAAGAACTCAGATAAGAAATAATCTCCCAGGTAAAATGGAAATGACAAACATAATAAAAGAAATGCTGAATATCTCTGAAGAAGACATAGTTAAAAAATTGAAGAGCAGTGTAAAAGATGGAAACTTTGAATGAAAAATATAAGACAGAAATAGAATGCATGAAATGAATTCAAAGAGATATACAGAAAATCAAAATTTCATCAAAAGCTGGCAAAACTGCCTCAAGGAAAGAGAAAACAGATTTTA